CATGATTTTCTCGCGCAGCTGCTTCTGCTTCTCGATCTTCAGGCGATAGGCGCGCGTCTCCTCGTCCTCGTCGCTGGGCTGTGGAGTGCAAAGCAAATGAGGTTAGCGAGTGCTCGCTGTGGGCTGTGGCTGCCAGACTTACCAGGTTGCGACTGCCACTGGCAGCGCCCTCCGCTGCCCGATTGCGCGGCTCGCCTGAGAAGGGATTCCGCGGCCCGTTTGGCGAGCCACTGCGTCGCCGTTTGGGCGGTGCGGCGCCGACTCCACTGCGATTCTCATCGCGTTCTCTGCTGTTGACAGCGCGTCGGTAGCCCCGATTGTCACCACCGCTGCTCGCAGCTGGACGAGCTCCTCCTCCTCCGCCTCCTCCACCACCGCCTCCATAGCGATCACGATCTCGTTCTCTGTCGCGCTCTCGCTCCCGCTCCCGTTCCCTCTCTCGCTCTCGCTCTCTTTCCCGGTCCCTGTCGCGATCCCTTTCCCGCTCCCGCTCCGTGCGCTTCAATGGCGAGTAACTGCGTCCACGCGATCGACTGCGTGTCCGACTCCGCCGTCGCTCGCTTTGGGCACCCGACGCCGTCGCCGAGTTGGCGCTGGGCGGCGGGGGTGAGCGTTCCATGCGTCGCTTCTCAAAGTACTGCTGATTCTTGAATATGAACTCCTCCTGCTGTCGCAGCAGCTCCGCCTCGCTGTTGATGGCCGGCACAAAGTGCGTCTCCTTGATGAACTTGTTGGTGGCCGCCTTGACGCCGCCCTTGAAGTTCGGATTGATCAGCACCTTGCTGACAACGCCGAGCGGCACCGCCGACGGCTGCACCACTGGTTGCTGCTGCTGCTGCTGTTGTTGCTGCTGCTGGTGGGGTCCGGGACCAATTGGTGGCGCGGCACCTGGCGCCACTGCCTGCGGTTGTTGAGGCTGCGTTGCGGCACCTGGCGGACCGGGATTCGGCTGCTGCTGCTGTTGCATGTGCGGATGCGGCGCACGCATATTCATGCCGTTCATGTAGCCGGGTCCGCCCGCTAGCAAGTGCTGGGGCAACGCCTGCAGCGGTGGGCGTGGCATGCGCGAACCAGGCGCATCGCTCTGAGGCCGCCAGCCGTTGTGCGGTCGAATGTACTGGCCCCCCATATGCGGATCATAGCCGGGCACAGGGCCTCCGGGCCCGGGACCAGGTCCATGTGGGCCATAGCCAGGCGGCGCATTGCGATAGGGCGGCGGTGGCCGCATCCCGGGCGAGTGTGGTGCAACTGGGGGCGGATGTGGTCCCTGGCCTAGCAACGCGCCATTGCGATAGGCGGCACCGCCATAGGGCAGTGGCAATGGCAACGGGGGCTGCAGCAGACCCACTCGCACCTGGTCGTGCGGATGCGAGTGTGAATGCGAATGCGGATGCGGCAATAGGTGCGGCGGCGGTAATCCGTTGGGTCCGCCCCCACTGTTGTTGTTGCTGGCATTGTTGCTGCTGCTGTTGTTGTTGTTATTGTTGTTATGTTGCTGCTGCAGCAAGTGCGGATTGTGTAGATGCGGGGATGGAGTGGGACCGGGACCGCCGGATGGAACGGGGCCTGTATTGTTTGTGGTGTATGGCGACTGTTGTTGTTGCTGTTGCTGTTGTTGTTGCTGTTGTGTGGGTGTTGACGGTGGTGCTTGTGGTGCATATTGGCCTGGAATGAATGCAGTTTTGTTTTGTGTTAGTGATTGTTGCTGCTGTTGTGGCTTTTGTTGCTGCTGCTGCTGCTGCTGATGATGATGACGGGGCGTGGCCTGTGGCGTGGCCAAAATACAAGCAGCCACTGGAGCCGCAACAACTGCCGGCGGCCCCGCCATCAACGTGGCCATATGTGCATGCGAGTGCGCATGGACATGTGGATGTGGATGTGGATGTGCATGTGCATTACCGGGAATCAGAAACCGTGGCATCGACATGCCCAGCATCCGTTGTGGATTGAACATGTGCGGGCCGGGATTGCGCAACAGATGATGCCGAGCGCCCATTCCGCGCTTACTGTTGCTGTTCTGGTTGTTATTGCCCGCCATAAATCGTGGTCCGCCAGAGCCACCCATGCGTAGTTTGTCTGCGGAGTAGAAGCACGATGAGCACAAGATATGAAATGACTAGCCTCTGTTGTAATTATCATTATAAATGTACATTTGATAGATGAGAATATAGATGTGCATGAGATGAGATGAGATGCGAGGAGCAACTAGGATCAAGCTCCCTATCGGAGATCATACTCAATAATGAAGTTCAGACTCCCATGTGGTAGTCCTAGTCCATAAGAAAGATCATACGCTCTAATGAAGATCGTGCTATATATACAGTTGCCTTTGACATGCTTCAAAACATCATTATCGCTCATTCTGGATTTCCCACAATCTTCTATGGGAGTCTGATCATGCTGATCATTTAACATATGCTTACGAAACTACATAATAATGATCGATCTCTCACTCCACCTCTCCACAAGCCTCTACATTCTCTAATGACGGTCATACTCCACAATATCTATCTAGCTTCATAATGAAGATGATTATTCCTTAAGACAATTCTAACCCATAATGATGATCTTACTCTCTACTGAAGATCATAGTTTATACAGATAGTCTCCTTATGCGTTCCATACTCTCTAATGAATATCAGTCCTAGTAATCTTTTATAAAGATCATAGTCTCTGAATCATGGCATATAAAATCTCGCTTCATAACAAAGAATAATGATCTTGCTGGGAATATTATCAACAAGAACAAACATGATTTGGCGTGTATTGTTAGCATACGCCAGTTTCTTGTTCTAGATTCGTGCTACATTTGAAAACTATCCCAGTTCTTCTGAGCCTCAACTCTATCGATCTATCTCACCTATATCAATAGATTTGACTAGCACTGGTTAGGTCACCTACCCGCATGATGTCGCCTCTGCAATTGTTGCTGCTGCGAGTGTTGCTGCTGCTGTTGCAAATGTTGCTTCTGGTTATCGGAACGTTCGCTGGCAGTTTTAAAATTGGTGCGCTCCTCACGCTCCTCGTCATCCTCGCGTGGATCGGGCAGCTCTGAGGCAGAGCTGGTGCTTGGCAGACTCTCCTGCGAAGTGGCCAACAGCGATGATAGGCCGTCTCTATCTGATGTCTCGGCATCGCAACGTTCAGGCTCTGGCTCTGGCTCTGGCTCCGGGTCGGGCTCTGTCAGCTCCTCTCCTCCTCTGTGCTCCTCGTTGACTGCCGTTGAGCTGCCATTGTTCACAGCTGGACTACTGCTGCCTGTTGTTGGGCTCGCCCGTTGCTCCCCCAGCTCTTCGTTTGGCTGTTGCTCGCCGCCAGCAACTGTTGTCGATGTAGCCGCAGCGAACTCTGTGACCTGCTGCGCTGTCTCAGATGCAATCGGCGCTGTCGTTGTCTCGGCCGCTGCCACAATTGTGGCACTGGGTAAATCCCGACTAGCTCGTCTCTCTTTGCTCGCTGCAGGTGACTGCGCTTCAGCAGCAGCAGCAGCAGCAGTAGCAGTAGCAACTGCGGCGGATTGTTGCTGTTGCTGCTGTGTTTTTGTTGCTGCTGCAGCCTCTGCTGCTGCTGCTGTTGCCGCCGCCTGCTGTTCCTTGTGCTTGCGCAGCTGTTCCTGGGCCCATTCCTCGGCCTCGGCGCGCATCTGCTGTTTCTCCTCACTGGTCACATCCTTTTCCAGCTCTACGAGAATAATATCAGTTGGATGGAAGTCATTAAGGGAATTGCCCACATATAGCCAATGACACTTACCCTCATCGGAGAGCAGTAGCTCATCCTCATCGGCGCCTAGCAGCGCCTGGTCATCGATGTCATCGCCCAGACCTAACTCATAGTTGAGCAGATCGTCACTGCAAATAGATGTTAACACTTTTAAGTACACATTGCTTGCATTTGATTAACTAGGTTTGTATATCGGCAATTTTCATATCCATTGTCAGCGATATCATTGTACCGCATTGTTAAGGCTGACAAGTCAGTTCTTGCAATAATCAATATTTGTATTACTGGCATCCCATTGTTTGTAAATAAATAAACACGTCTGCAATGTGGCAGGTAATGCTCCTTAGAGGAGCATATGTTGTATGCACCGCGTATTTGTATGCTACTTTCTGTATGTTTTCATGACACGCAGGTTCTGCTGGGCACTGCACCCACACTCACTCACACACGCAAACATAAACACACATACTCACTTGCGCAGGCAAATACCTTGAAAATATGTATGCGTGTGTATGCATGTATGCATGTGTTCTGTGTGTGCGCGCGCGTGTGTGTTGTGTATGCAGTAGGTACACTTAAATGGCAATCAAAATGTTGCACATTTTGCACTAATTGAATAGGACTGTAGCAGCCTTTGGTCATTTATCACTCGTTTCGTTTTTCACTCTTCTTCGTTTCTTTTTCGCTGTTTTTTTTTTTTGTTTTTTTGCAAATTTTTGCATTTTCACGCAACTTACTTAATGTCCGACATTTTGACTGTGGGACCACCACCACCACCACCACAAAGGCAGAGCGAGGAGGCGGTAGCGGCAGCTGTTGACACTCAGCGGCAGCGCTACTAAAGCGCGCGTGTGTGTGTGAGTCTGAGTGTGGTTGTGTGTGTGTGTGTGTGAGTGTATGTGTGTTTGTGTGCGCGTTATGTGGATAAAGTAGAACAACGTTTGTCTACTTTACGTAGGCCGATTATAACATGTTTGTTTGTTGCTTTTATTCTCACTTTTACTTAATATACGCATTAACACACAGCACGTTAACTACTATTATTCAGTTTTAACGCACGTTATAATCACTGAAAACGCTGCTCTGCCAGCATTTTCCACACGCAGTTTTATTACTTTTTTTTTAGTTTTAGCACTTCAACACACTGTCCAACACTGAACGTGCTTGCCTGCAGTGCTGCCAAATACATAGTTCACCAGAAACTCACGCTCACGCGGCAGTATATCGATATAGTCGATTGTTGACGGGTCAAAAAGTGAATCGATGTTTCGATGAATAGCTGGCTTCATAAAGTAGTTCCAATTGGCACACGGTACACAATGTCGAGCGCCAGCAGCTGTGCGCATTAATTAAAATAAAATAAATATTCGCTTCGTGCGAAAAAGAGTTCGTTGACAAAATTTTGAAGTAAACCGATCCGTGGATGTAGATGTGGAGTTAGTCATAAAACTGGATATGAGCGTCTGATAAATGCAATTAGCCAACAGTCGCGCAACGAGCTCGCGTCGCGGTGGTTAAGCAAAGTTGAACTTATAAAGACGAATACAAATTATTATTGTGTTGCAATTAGACAAGTCGCACACGCACACGAGCACACACTCACACACGCGCACATAGATATTTTCGGTTTTTTATACAGTTTTTTATACACAGATACGGACACCCACACACGCGCGCTTGTAAATTGTAACAAGAAACCGAGTCCAATTAGACCAACCAATAACAAAGCATCAAATCGAATCGGAATCGGAATCGGGTCAGTGAAATGCAAATTTCAATATAGAATTATTTGAAATAGAAACAAAAGAGAAGAGGATAGGAAATGAATGACAACCAAAACGCGAATGCGAAAAATGCGCAAAATCCAATCGAACAGCTGACCAAAAGGGCGCCAACACCAGACTCACTCAGTGAGCAGAAACCACAGCAGCAGCAACAGCAACAGCAACAACAAGTGGCCATGGCCACTGTTCGCCTGCCCATTGTGGGCATGACCTGTGGATCGTGCGTACGTAACATTGAAACACAGGTGGGTCAGCTGCCAGGGGTGCTGAACGCACGCGTCCAACTGGAGGAGGCCGCTGGGTACTTCGACTACGAGCCCAGCCAAATGGACGCCGAGCGCATCGCCAACACCATCGACGACATGGGCTTCGACTGCAGCTACGACCCCGTGGTGAGCCCGGTCAGCGCCAGTGCGGACATCCGCGTCCTGGGCATGACCTGTCAGTCGTGTGTGCGCAACATCGAGTCGCATATATCCGGCATTGCTGGCGTGCAGCGCATCCAGGTGCAGCTGGACGAGAAGTGTGCGCGCGTCCAGTACGATCCACAGCAGTTGACAGCGGCGCAAATCGCCGAGATGATCGATGACATGGGCTTCGACGCGAGCGTGGCCAGTGGGACGACACAGACGACGACGACAGCGACGCCTAGACAGTCGCCCAAACAGTCGCCCAGACAATCGCCCAGGCAGTCGCCCAGGCAATCGCCCGTGAAGCAACAGATGGGCAATGGAACTAGCAAAGCCGTCGGCCAGGTGCAGCTGCCCATCGAGCAGGAGATGCTGACCAAGTGCTTCCTGCACATCCGCGGCATGACCTGCGCCAGCTGCGTGGCGGCCATCGAGAAGCACTGCCGCAAGATTTATGGCCTGGACACGATCCTGGTCGCCCTGCTGGCCGCCAAGGCGGAGGTCAAGTACAATGCAAATGTTGTAACAGCCGAAAACATTGCCAAGTCAATAACCGAACTCGGCTTTCCCACCGAGCTCATCGATGAGCCCGACAACGGCGAGGCCGAGGTGGACCTGGAAATCTCGGGCATGACCTGCGCCTCCTGTGTCCACAAGATCGAGAGTCACGTGCGCAAGCTGCGCGGTGTGACGGCTGCCTCGGTCACATTGTTGACAAAGCGCGGTAAGTTCTCACCTCGACTGACTACCAGATACCCTATAAAATATAAATACAAAACAACTATTCAAATCTCAATTATGAACTGAATGAATTCCCATTGCCATTAATTCCCACATTCCTTGGCTATGTTAGGCTTTGCTTCATAGTTCACATAATGATGATCGGAACTAGTTCCAGCTTATGGCTAAAGCAAATCGAAAATATTAATGTCGTAGACATTTTTCAATTTATCCTTAGATTTACTCCATTGAGAACTTACCCAGTTAACTTTGATAAACTAGTCCCATTATATTACTCATAGAAGTAGTCCTATATGGAAGTATAGCCAGATTTTGTATCGATTTAGTAATATTCCCCTTCCAAGTCGAAAAATCTAATCGTTGGACCCACCTACTGTGTTGCATAATGCCTCTGGAATCGCGAATGCTCCAATTTCATCAGCTTTTGAATTGATCAATATTTGCCTTTTATATAAACACCAATTGGAAACAATAGCAATTGCACTTCTGCCATATGTTCCCATGTTTATTCAGTTCTGTTGATATATGTCGTAATACTTTAATTTATATATAAATGGACTATAAGGAATAATGGATCAGATTCGTATACCTGTTGAACGTATTATTGACATCACGTGCCAATACCCACTCCCCTCCCCCCTCTATGAATTGCTCCAATTTAAATAGAACAGGGCACAAAGGAGCTTTTCAGCTGTGATTTCGACAGTCTATTTTACACTATATAGAGTGTGTGTATATGGAGGGTGCGAGGGTTTTATGCTTGATAAGAGATCCCCAACCAGGCCAATGCTCACAACAACAAACAAAGAAAGAATAACACAAAATGTGTGATTAAATGCGACTGGGTGTACTTGGTTCTCAAATACAGATTATCTGAACTATATACATGTATATATGTATATGTATGTACATACTGCATACATACGTATATCGCATCACAAATAGGGGGCTGAGCTGAGCAGATATGAAAGAAAAGAGTGTTGATATTTTCTCACTGGCATATTATGGATAGTGTATGAATTGCTGAAGATCTCAAAAGTCTGTAAACCAGATCTATATATATATCGCAAACATTTCGGCCAAATATCATTACAATCATACACAAAGAACTACGATTAGTAATACAAGAAAAAGCTGTGCTTTGGGTATTCACATCTATGATACATAAAACTCCGGAGTCCCAGAGCTTGAACACGCTCTTTCCTTCTAAAAGAAATTCTTCAACTTATTCAAATGCAATAGCAACAGAACCCACTCAAGTCTCAACGTATAGCCAATTATAAGGAGTCATTGGCAGTGCAAAGTCGTGAATCAGCGAGCTACCTTAGATATTTATATGGTACACGTATACCTACATATATATATAGAGATCTAGATACCTAAAACGAGGGCGCATTTGCTTTGTGTACACTCGATTGTTTTTGCTGCGTTTCAGATACAAATACATACATAAACAAATACACATACACGGGCGCTGATGCATACAGATACAGAGACAGCTACAGCTATGGCTACACACAGTTACATTAATAAACTTATAGCAACGGCTACAATTGTTAAAACGGTTTCTGAGACCTTCGGCTAAAGCTTTGAGCCAGCCAAACAAATTTTCATTGTAAATCAGTTTTAAGCTGAAAGTGAAAGAGCCTCGCCCTCCTTCAGGCCAGCAGCAGCACCTCTCTATCTCTATGCCTCCCTCCCCCCCTCTCTCTCGCACTCTCACTTGATCCGCTCGTTTGTTCGTGCTGTGCTTATTTTATTTCTTTTGTACATTTTCTTCCGTTTTGTTTTTGTTGTTGTTCGTCACTCTTTAGACTTTTGGTTCGCTGCGCAAGCGCAACGTTCACATTTACCTTCGATTCGTTGTTGCTTTCGTCGTATTTCGCAGATTTTAAATGGAAAATGTATGCCCGCACATAAATACATACATACATACATACATATTTTGTGCTTATAAAATTATGCAAGAGCATGCGGTGCATTAGAGGTGAACGCGAAATGGCTTACTGGAAAAATACATATAAAATAAAATTTTAAAAAATATATGCATATACATACATACATACATCTATTTACATAATATATGTATTTGCAAAAATATGAAATTACACATGAAACATGATAAACAATGTTGTACATACATACATATATATATATCACTAGTTCGTTTTCAATTATTCGATATTTTAGCTTCAGCAAATATTGTTATCGTCCTCATGACATTCCGTGACTTGTTGACATGCATACATACATACATACATATATTATTGCATATCGAACTTGCGGCCATCGCTAGTCGAAGTACTTACACGATTAACCGTTGGTGTAATCGATTCTTGTTGTTCTCAAGCAGTTTTGCACATTGTTTGCCCTCTGAGAAAAATGCAATTGAACTGCTTAATGTTTCCATTTTATATCGCTTAGCCCGAAAACTGCCGATGTGATATTATGTACGAGCAGTAAAATCGATCCTCGTATAAATAAATGAACTTTTGCGAAAAGATTGTTTTGAAATGTTGATAGTTTGATATATACATATGTATGTATGTATGTATGCATGTATAGCAGTTGCACATTTCAGACTGAAATCTGATAATGTATTTGTAGTTGAAAATGTGTGCGTAAAAGGAATCCGCATGAGGTATTCTATTCTAGCTCCATTTATAAGGAAATCAGAATATGTATGTATGTATATACAAACAAATGGCAATGGTGGAGTCGGGGTTTTCTTATATTTCGCTTACTGTATACTCATATGATATAGTAGTCATATCATGAAGGTCGATCAGTATCGAAAAGAGAAACAAAACTCATTAGCATGCTGTAGAAATGTGTGTATACAACTCCAATTTGTTGGCATAGGGATTTTTTTAATCAAAAAACTTTGTCGAGCAAGTGCAAAAAAATTTCTAGATAAAATGCAAAATTCTTTAAGAGTTTTATTAGTTTTGTTGTTATTGCTGTTGTTGTTGCTGTTGTTTTGCCAAACAACTTGGGGAAACTACAAAAAAATGAGAAGTGAAACAAAATTTGTGACTTACGGTAAAGTTGTCGAAACATATGTTTTGCCTACCGTGCGACCGATGCTTATCAGATAAGTGACGCGGACGGGGCCCCAAGCTAAAACGGCCAAACTGGGACGACAACAGCAACAACAACAACAACAACAGTAGCACCTACAACAATGGGAAATGTTCTAAAAATGAAAACGAATCGAAGCGATAAGATGCAGCAACAACAACAAAAGCAGCAACAGCAGCAGCAACAAATACAAACGGTACAATGAACGGGACGAATTAAGCAAGCAAGGTAAAGAAAAAAAATTAAATAATGTTTAACGAGAGGGAGCGGGAAGGATCGAGAAGAGAGCAAAGCGAGATTGCAGCACTTGTAATTGTAGCTGTTAGAGATGTACATATGCATGTATGTATGTACACACACCCACACACACACTCACACAGATGCACAGGCACACATTGAAGAAATGTTGATTATCTTTTCGGCTGCTTCGTGTGGCAGCGCCGCATTTCGATCGATTGGCTTCAATCGATCGTCGCACTTCGCTTTGCTGATAATTAGCATTGAAATTCGAATACGAACGACTGTTATGCCAATCCCCGCTGATGATGCCTTCACTCGACTCCCATAACCATATCAATTTTGTTTTGCACACGCTTCTGCTGCAATTACGTGGCCCAGCACGTGGGCGACTAATCGAATACCCTGCTAAAGCATGTGCTAATGCGAGGAAATTAGTCGAATTTACTTAGCTTAAATGCAGTTAGCGACACAGAAATATATTTATTGATTTATGTTGATGGACTGATTGTTATTATTATTGATAATCACATGCTCATATCGGGTACATTTGCATACTTATGTGATTACAGGGTATACTATTGAACAGCACAGCGTGTTGATATTAGTTTTGCACACGATTTGCCAATGCATATTGTCATTTACCCATACATACATACATACATACATACACACATATATAGGCTTAGCTGATATGTTTACGTACACACAAGCACACACCCACACACACATACACATGCATTGCTGTAAAGTCCCTGCAATATTAACACTTACACCCTCTCTCTCTCTCTCTCTCTCTCTCTCTCTCTCTCTCCCTCCTTTGTTCTCTCTGACTCTAGCCGCATGACTGTTGAAATACTTATCTGCTATGATTCAGTGAGTCTGTATGCGGGAATTTTCTTTAAAAACTCGACAAATGCAAATAAACTCGGTGGTTTTCCAGTTATCTTAACGGTACGGCTCAAGTGAGCCAAACAAGTTGACCAATTATCTAGTCAATTGCATATCTTTCACTAAATACTAGAAATGTGTCTAGTCATGCGCTTAAAACTTCCAATTTTGAGCATGTTAAATGGGCGGCCCTCGCTTGCCATTAAAGCCCACAAGCACAGCTACAACTGTAAAATGCTCTCGTATCTTATCTACACTTTATCTCGTTCCTTAACTTACACCAACAACTGCATTGAATTGCGACAATCCCGAAAAGAAACTAAAGAAAATAAATATTTTAAATAAACTAGCAGTATTTTTGGAGCTTTGTCTGCGTCTGGAATAGCCCGACGCCAAGTTCAACAGCCCATGTTGGCCCACACACACACACACACACACACACACACACACACACAGGCAAAAGTGAATGCATTGAAAATGTAGCCGTTATTCAAGTGATTAACGATGTGTACACACACATGCTTACACATCACACACATATGCACATACAACACTGAAAGAGAGAGAGAGAGAGAGCGGGAGCGAGGCGGGAGGCGTGTGTAGCTCGAGCTGGTTGTCTAAGCTTCAGTTGGCAATCAAATCCGGGCACTGGAACCGGTTAATAATAATAACAAAATCTTAATAGTATTTGCAAAAAGAGAAAAAAAATTGTAGCTGAAAAGCCAGCTGAATACGTTTAGCGCTCCAATTCCAATTTCAATTCCAATTGGAGCGCACTTTTGCGACTTCACTCTACAGGTCGGGCCAGAATAGTGTGGACACCTAATGATTAGAGCTAAATACTTTTGCAACTTCATTCACAGGCCTGGTCATAAAAGTGTGTTATGTAAGCTTGCTAGTGATATTCTCATAATCCACACTCTAGCTGCAGTTGGAAACAGTTTAATTTTTTATTGAGCTAGTTTTTTGTTATTGTTTTAATAAGTTTTATATTCTTACGCTGTAATCTAATCTGATATGTCTGCATAAATATTTACTGAAGCACACCTAGGGTAATATTTTGCTTAATTTACAATATTAGCGCATAGCCTTTAGATGAATATATTCTTCATATAATTCGATTAAAACATTTAATGTATATAGAAGGAAATATTTTAGACTTGATTTACGTGACTTGAGGCAGTTAATTGGAACTAGTTTCTGCACGTATCCATGCGCTTTCACTTGCAGCTCAATGTAGGAGTTGTTGGATAGGTGGAAACGTGCCTGGCTGCAGCTTTCCCTCTCGTGGCGAGTTCTAGTTTATTTTGATGAGTCAGTGCACTGGTTTATTTCTTACTACTAGTTCATTTAGCTTTGCACTGCATGAACGATACCGATTCTTCAGTCGATCGTGAAAAATCTTTATAGACATAGCTCGGAATAGCTCTATAGAACGAAACAGAGTGAATGACTGATTTTTGTGGACGCCACTGTAGTGTCGTACCATTTGATACGTGTTCGAGCATGTTAACTTTACTGGATACCACTGTAATGAGTTAATCAGGCTCGTGATGGCAAGATGTAGTGTTTTTTTCAGACGCCACTGTAATGTGCTCCTATACGTTCATGTTATAGTCAAACAAGAGACGTGTTACAGCTTTTCTGGACACCACTGTAGTCTAATAAGATGTCGCACCTACATTTCTTTCAGGCAAGTTCCGCTACACAACGGAGGAAACGGGTCCGCGCAGCATATGTGAAGCGATCGAGGCGCTCGGCTTCCAGGCCAAGCTGCTCAGCGGCCGGGACAAGATGGCGCACAATTACCTGGAACACAAGGAGGAGATCAGAAAGTGGCGAAATGCGTTCCTCATCTCGCTGATCTTCGGCGGTCCATGCATGGTGGCCATGATCTACTTCATGCTGGAGATGCGGGACAAGGGTCATGCAAGCATGTGCTGCCTCGTGCCGGGGCTGTCCATGGAGAATCTGGTCATGTTCCTGCTGTCAACGCCCGTTCAGTTCTTCGGCGGCTATCACTTCTATGTACAGTCGTATCGTGCCATCAAGCATGGTACCACCAACATGGACGTGCTCATCTCCATGGTGACGACCATCTCGTATGTCTACTCCGTGGCTGTGGTGATTGCGGCTGTGCTGATGGAGCAGAATAGCTCGCCTCTGACCTTCTTCGATACGCCGCCTATGCTGCTGATCTTCATTTCGCTTGGACGCTGGCTGGAGCACATAGCCAAGGGAAAGACGTCGGAGGCGCTGTCCAAGCTGCTCTCACTGAAAGCGGCCGATGCGCTGCTCGTCGAGATCTCACCCGACTTTGACATAATCAGCGAGAAGACTATATCCGTCGACTATGTTCAGCGTGGGGATGTACTGAAGGTGATACCCGGGGCCAAGGTGCCCGTCGATGGCAAAGTGCTCTTCGGCCATTCCAGCTGCGATGAGTCCCTCATCACGGGCGAGTCGATGCCGGTGGCTAAGCGCAAGGGCGCCGTTGTCATTGGCGGGTCGATCAATCGGAACGGCGTGCTCCTCGTCGAGGCGACGCACACCGGCGAGAATACGACGCTGGCGCAGATCGTGCGACTCGTCGAGGAGGCCCAAACCTCGAAGGCTCCTATCCAACAGTTGGCCGACCGCATTGCCGGATACTTTGTGCCCTTTGTGGTGGCCATATCGACCATAACGCTCATCGGCTGGATCATTGCCGGCTTCGCCGATCCCGATCTGGTGCCAGTGGCCCATGAGCACAAGATGCATATGGATCGTAATACGATTGTCATTAGTTACGCCTTCAATTGTGCTCTCAGCGTGCTGGCCATTGCCTGCCCATGTGCCTTAGGCCTGGCCACGCCCACAGCTGTTATGGTGGCCACTGGCACTGGTGCTACGAATGGTGTGCTGGTCAAAGGAGCCACAGCCCTGGAAAATGCCCATAAGGTGAGTGCATAGGATATACCAGTAGAGAGACAGAGAGGGGGAGAGATAGAAAGAGTACAATCTCATCTAGCAGCCGCTGTCTAGTGCTTGCAGCGCTCTCAATGAACTAAGCAATGAGAGCGTGAGTGAGAGACACAGCATGCCAGCTCTAAATACATAAGCAACAATTACCGCTATTTCGTATGTGCTCACTCACTCTTTGCGCTCTCAACGTGCTGCTAGTACCCAGTCAGTGCGATCGAGCAAGCACTCTCACTAAACACAAAAGGCAGGAATGACCAAGAATAAAATACAAAAAATCTAATTCGTTATTATTTCAAGCTGTTATTACTTCAAGCATAATTAAGCGGGAAAGATATATGTATATATACATATAATCAAATTAACGCGTTATTGAATGTGTAAATTACAAAAATGTGCAGTCCCTTTTAGAGAGCAGATTAGGAAATAGTTGAAAGATTTGTCATGCTCACAGAAAAAATTTGCATACTGCATGATTCCCTTTGCGTAGGGCATGAACAAGTCGATTTGCTTGAACAAGCCAAAAACAAATATTTTGCAGGCAACGGCATTTTGTATGTATGAGTGTGTGCGTAAGTCTGGCTGCCTGTTGATATGACACTTTCGTTTCTGTGCTCTCTGCGCTCTCTTAAATTTATATGTGTGCATGTGTGTGGGTGTGAGCGCGTTTGTGTATGCCCGAGAATTTGAGCTCCTTCTTAAGGAGCAGCATGGCGAAATAGCTGGAATTTTTGCACGATTCCTTTTGCGTAGGACATTAAAGCATCGACTTGCTGTATACGTATGAGAATGACGTATGCACGTAGGCGTCTGTATTAGTATTAGTGTGTGTGGGCGCGTAACTTTGCCTGCCATATTGAGTTTATGTGGAACAAAAATTTAAAGATTGGGGCTTAAACTTAGACTTTAAATGATGCACATACAAACATAAGTAAATATATTGAAATAGATGAATCTACATATATGTATGTATATATATATTTATATTGAGCAGAGTTATTAATTTGCTCCCCATGTTGCAGGTCAAGACTGTTGTCTTCGACAAGACGGGCACCATAACGCACGGCACTCCGATGACCAGCCGGGTAACGCTGTTCGTGCCGCCACAGGTGTGCAGCCTGGCCCGGGCCTTGACTATCATTGGCGCCGCGGAGCAGAACAGCGAACATCCCATTGCCTCGGCCATCGTGCACTTCGCCAAGGACATGCTGAGTGTGCAGAATAGCTTTGGCAAGAGCTCGAATTTTCAGTCGGTGCCTGGGTGCGGCATTCGGGCCACCGTCTCCAACTACGAGCAGGCATTGCGGCAGGCCTGCAATGCGGAGCGCATCATCAACTATGAGAACCTGTGCCGCGCCCATCCACACACTGCCATCGCCGTGGACAACGGCGCCAGCATAGACCAGTTGCAGCTGCAGGAGAAGTACATCGAGCAGCAGCTGCTCGCCTTGGATGGGGCCCTCGATCTGGAACAGCGCCAGCAGCACCCACAGCTCGACCAGCAGCAGGCACTGATCGATGGGCACGAGATCAATGTGCTCATCGGCAATCGCGAGTGGATGCAGCGCAACGGCATCGAGGTGCCACTGGAGATTAGCGACTGTATGACACGTGAGGAGCACAAGGGACACACGGCCGTCCTCTGTGCCCTCAATGGGCAGCTGGTTTGCATGTTTGCCGTCGCCGACATGGTCAAGCCGGAGGCTCATCTGGCTGTCTACACGCTCAAGCGCATGGGCATCGACGTGGTTCTGCTGACGGGCGACAACAAGAACACCGCGGCCAGCATTGCCCGTGAGGTGAGTCCAGATGCTTTATCTTGGTCAACCCATGAAACTTACATATAAACTGTCATTAATCTGGTTTCTTTACTCTGCAGGTGGGCATACACACAGTTTATGCGGAAGTGCTGCCCTCGCATAAAGTGGCCAAGATCCAGAGGATTCAGCAGCGCGGCATACGCGTGGCCATGGTGGGCGATGGCGTCAACGATAGTCCCGCCTTGGCGCAAGCCGACGTGGGCATCACCATCGCAGCGGGCACAGATGTGGCCGCAGAGGCAGCGGACATTGTGCTGATGCGCAACGATCTGCTGGACGTGGTCGCCTGCCTGGATCTGTCCCGGTGCACAGTGCGTCGCATTCGCTACAATTTCCTGTTTGCCAGCATGTACAACCTGCTGGGGATTCCCCTGGCCAGCGGACTGTTTGCGCCCTTCGGCTTTACGCTGCAGCCCTGGATGGCATCGGTGGCCATGGCCGCCAGCTCGGTGAGCGTCGTCTGCTCGTCGCTGCTCCTCAAAATGTATCGGAAGCCCACGGCCAAGACGTTGCGCACCGCCGAATACGAAGCTCAACTGCTGGCGGAGCGGGCCAAGCGCTCCAAGGGCTCCGATTCGGAACTGGACAAATTGTCGCTGCATCGCGGCCTCGACGACCTGCCCGAGATCATGAACGGCAAACGAATGGCGGCCTTCAAGCGCTCCAATACCTCGCTCATCTCGCGCATCTTCGGCGCCAACGGCAGCGACAATGCCAAGCACGAGGAGGGACTGCTCGAGGATGCCAACGAGCGGACGCCAAGGATTCTGCAGTCCCGCTACCTGGCTGACAGCACCGAGCTGCAGAAGCTCTAAGCAAGAACTAAATTTACCGTTCCACACAACTAGAAATCTGTATATAAGCAAAAGCATAAGAAAAATATCTAAAGCAATCAGAGAAAAAAACAAAAACAAATTTAGTTCATATTTTTACTATATACATATATCATATATACGCATTATATAATTTAATCTTTTTTTTTTTTTTTTTTTTTTTTGTTATTCCGTTGTTGATAATTCTGTTTTTTGTACTCTAATACTATATGTATGCTATTCTCGCTTTATCCTTAAGTTCAGTTGTGAACAAAATATCTAAGACCACATCAGACAAGACCATAAGCACACAAACAACAACATACAAATATGGACTATATATTGTTACTTATGCTTAAGTTAACAGATATGTATAAACGGAAAGCTCAATGTAAATGTGTATATGTATATGTGTATGTGTGTACCACAGTACATGCCTGCATGCATGAATACAACTAGCGAAACAACCGAGATTTTTGATATACAACATATATATAGGCTATATATACATATATATATATATATATATTTCTAGTATATGGCAAGTGCATCTCCGTTCAAATCGTTAAATACAAATATTAATTCATAATTAATCAAGCACAAGTAAATTTAACGACTTGGAAAATGAAACAAATTTTTGATAGCAACAATATCATAATATGATACATTATATATTATATAGAAAATACATATATTTGTAAAGCTTATACGTGTACATATATATGTAAATATATAAATATATATACATACATATATGCATACGAATACATCGATGTAAATATAGACACAAACACAAACTGACGTGTATAAATAAAGAACAAATAAATGATTGATCCTATACCAGCAAATGAGAGAGAGAGAGAGAGAGACAAGGAATGGGAGAGGGAGAGGGGTAGAGTATGTATCATTAACATTATATTTGTATCATAACTATAGCTCTACTTACATATACATACATATTCATATGTACATATGTTACCCTACTGTATATGTACATACATATATACATACATTATTATCATAGTCAAACAATTGATTTGACCAGCTGCTTTTATCTAGGCCATAGCTGAGTCGATCCAGCGAACTCGTAAGCTAGAGATATAAAATATGCCATATATATGTACATATGTAAATATGTATTTATTTAAAATATACTTTTTTTTCCTATCTCCTATCGATAATAATCGATGTTTTGATTTAGTTTCTTCAGCGCCATTTCAATACCCAAAAACTAGAAGTCGCGAATTCACTTGGTAGATACTCACAAGGAAGATAGCGAGGCTCTGGGATTCGGGATCCCTCAATACTCACTATACGGTATATTTAGTTTTGGCTTGTCTATATAAGCATATGAATTCCAAGTTTTCTGATAGTATTGTTTCGCTTAGAGCAAATATAGTCTTCCCCGATTTACCACGCCCGTTTTGGATATATCTTAAAGCACTTCTGAAGACGAAGCTGCCCATTAATATATGGCTAATAAATATATCCTACATATATACATATATATATATATATGTATGTGAGTATATTTATGTGTGGATGTAGAAAAATTCGTACAAATAGCATAATTTAGTTCATTTATTTGGTAAAGGTAAATTTAGTTCTGTTCTTCTTCTTGAATTTTCGTCGGTAAAGAGCAGAAATGCATTTATCTATCTCTTTCTTGTATAAAACGTCAATGTAAGCGTGGGTGGGTGTACATTTATGTGAGTGTGAGTGTGTGTGTGTGTGTGTGTGAGTGTAATCTTGTTACATTATGCTAATTTAGAGTCCAGCTGCATTTTGAAAATGTGGCCTGCTTTTTCGCAGTAGCTTTTCTTAGAAATATCAGTGAGATGAATCCTTATAAAGAATGTCATCCACCCACTCACACACACACACTTATATCTGATGTTGTTAGTTTTCTATGTGGTTGTTTTCAAGTGTGTCAGTTTTGTCCTTGTTGTGTGCTCATGACATCATCACATCCTCGATCAGCGCTGGATTGTTGCTGGCATTCTCGGTGTGGGCCAGATTCATGGGGAATAGATCCAGATTCGACTTGAATTCGGCAATGTCCACAATGGTGGTGGCATCGCCGTCTTCTGGCAGAAAGACAACGTTGAGTTTGTTGGCCAGCGCCTGGAAGAGTTCGTCCTCGTCCTGCTCCTCGTCCTCGTCTTCCAAGCTGCTATCCATCTCAACATCATCGTCAGCCTCGTCAGCATCGTCGTCACTGATGGATTTCGCCTCGCTTAGCGTTCGCTGAGCAAGAGCGTTCGTCTCGGCCAACGACTTCTTCTTCGATTTGGCCGTCTTCTCCAGTTGATGGCCAATAACCTGTATGGACACCTTGCGCATGTTGCTGATCTCGTTGTCCAGCAGGAAGGCGACTATTTCGTGTTTTGTCAGAGTGCGCAGCACTTCCACCTGCTGGCGACGACGGTCGAACATATATTCCTCATTGACAATCTCGTTCCAGTTGCGCGATACCTCGCTGACCAGCGCCGTGTCGGCGACCTGCTTCAGCTTGATGAGGGAGTCGCGCGTATGGTCGTAGTCCTCCAGGGACATATCCTCGAGTATCTGCAGCATATTGTTGCGGAACACCTCGATGCGCTTCTCCACGTGGCTGGCCGTGGTGTTTGTCTCCTGCGAATTGACCATGATAGAGTAGCCGGCAATGCCGTAATTCATGCGGACCGTCGCGCCGACGTGGTAGCCCAGCTGTTCCTTGGTGCGCAGCTGATCGAACAGCGGCTCCTCGACGAACATCATCAGCAGATCCAAGATGCATTCCAAACGCACGGTGTTCGGCCCGATCTGATAGTAGTTCGTGATCACAGTGTTCGTATCCTGCTCGTTCAGCGCGTGGCAGCGTATGTAGTGTGCGCCCTGTGGCAACTGCACTGTTCGATCCTCCACATAGTAGTGCTCCTCGATCTGCATGCAGCCGAGGCGACTCAACAGCGTGTTCATCACATTGTGGGCCTGCTCCTCCGTTACGTTGCCCTGCACGAGGCCCTGCACATACAGCTGCTGTGGAAAGAGCGTGGCGAACTCCTGCAGATCCCTTAGTGTGATATCGTTAAGGCTTTTGTACTTGTCGATCATTAGCCAGCGCAAATGCTCCACTACGCACAGGCGAATATCCCTAAAAATAAAATGGACAGCCATTAGAAACAGGGTCTCTAAGAGAGAGTGCATGTGAGAGAGAGGGAGAGAGGTGTGTGGGTGATTCACCTGTTTAGGGCACGTGGTTTGATTAGCGTATTGAAGTAAGTTTTGCGTTGATCCTTCACAAAGGTGGCCACCATCTCGTCAGTGAGCATTGATGGCACTCTGATCATCGCGTCGGCAATGGACTCGACAAGCAAGTGCAGCTTCTCATTGTAGCCATGCACCTGCAGTATGAGACCTTTCTCGCCCACGCTGAAGGTGTAGTTGAGCCCAGCACTGGTGGCTGGATACAGTTCCTCGCTAACGTGGAACTTGACCAGCTCTTCGTACAGGGCGCACATGGTATCACTGTAGGCAGACAAGAGAGAGATGGAGTGAGAGAGTTAATCGGTAATAATTCAAAGTGAGTGAGAGAGACGGGGAGAGAGTGCTTACTTTTTGGCACTTTTGCGCTGTAGCGGTGAAATCAGATAGAAGGACATGTATGCCTCGGGCAGCTCGAACTTGTCATCGCCGCGGAACCAGAGCTCACAGATCTCCGATTGCAGCAGTCTCTTGGGCGAATCGGTCAGTACGGGTTTGCCCATCTGGTGCCAATAGATGTCAAAGTTTTTGGTAATGAATCGATTCGATTCAGGCAGAAAGAGTTCGGGCATCTTTTTGGGATCCGATTCGCGCCACAGATGTGTCCACTTCTCTGGCATTGGGATGCTGGTGTATTCCGTGCCAAACCACGGCTCGCGCTTATCGAAGACCAAATCCCCGTATTTCCTAGCAGTCAGCATTAGATTAAATTTAAATTCGTTCAGATGGCCGATCAGATAGACCAAATCCTGCTCGTTGTACTCGTAGTACAGATCCTTGCCGGTGAGCACATCCTTGGGCGGAAAGTATTTGCAGTTCAGCACCAGCTGCTGCACATTGTCCATGGCCGGACGCTGTGCCTGAAAGCGAAAGCCAATCTCTTCGATGCCTTGCTGCTCCTCGTAAATAGTGCGTAGAGCCTTCGGATCAGCCTGAGCAATGACTTTCACATAGGCAAACGTGGCCGCTAGGACATCGTCCAAGTTGTTGAAACCCTCGTCGGTTAGATAGATGCACACATTGAACAGACTGTACATTGAGTTGAGATCAAAGCCGTTCTCATCGATGCCAGCGACCAGCTCCAGGGCCCACAGACGACGGCGCAGGTAGGCGCAGAGGCTGCCTTTGCCCTCGTAGCCGAGCAAAAATGAAAGAAATTGGTCCGGTTTGCTGCGATAGTATTTGCGCACGCAGGGCAGCACCCAGGTCAGCTCCAGCTTGGTAACATTCTCCACGGGCTTGACGAAGAACGCGTGCTCATGGAACTCGGGACGAAAGGCATCCCTGTAGCTGAATGTGGACAGATCTGGTGCCACGACCTGATTGCTGGGTATGTCGGCAAAGTGGCGCAGCACCAAGGCCTCAAGCTCGTCGATGGGCAGGCGTGCTTGCACGCACAAGTACATCCGGTTGGCAGCGTAGTGGTCGCGTCTGACCTCGTGCAGCAGCTTGTGCAGCGCGTTGTCGTCGACGTTCTCCTTGAGAGTCTTCATATTGCCCCAGGCGAAGGTGCCGTGGGGATAGCCGTAGGTGGCCAGGCTGGCCAGCAGCTGGTCACGTCTAGTCTCATCCTCCTGCACGATCTGCTGGAATTCCGAGTCAACGGAGCAGCGTTCGCGCTGCATCGCCTCCTGCTTCATCAGTGGGTGCTTCATTAAGGCAGTGAAGTAGTCCAGACTGGAGTCCAAGTGCTTCTCGGCCACCTCGAAGTAGAAAACGGTCTCCTCGCAGTCTGTGATGGCATTCGTGAATCCGCCGCACTTCTTGATATGTGCATCGAACATATTCTCCTCGGGATACTTTTCAGAGCCCATGAATATCATGTGTTCTAGAAAATGAGCCAAGCCCTGATATTCGCGCGGCTCGGAAAATGAGCCGTAATCCAAGAGGATCGCACAGGCGGCCAGTTTCTCATCGCCCTCTTCGCTATCAGAATCCGAAGTACTGTGTCCGCTGCCCGATGTGGACGTTGTGTACTCGCTTGAGCTGTTCGTGGTCTCAGTCTCTCCAGAAGTCTCGCTTCCTTCGCCGACCGATGACTCTGAAGTAGTGAAGCCATCGTGGGGCACCGGACTCGGATCCGATATGATAAGAGCGCGTAGTCCATTGGGTAAAAGAATTGATCTGCAACGAGTGAAATGAGAGATGAGATCAAGACATAAACCTACATCTGTAGAGAGAATAACCTATGACAGAAAATGTATGTTAAGAAACTCTTATATCTCTATTTACTACTGGTGCCATTATAGCTCTTATACTCGTTCCACTAAACACTCTTATATTGTTACTAATCGCGCCTAAACGGTCGTGGACTTGGTGTTTTCTCTTCGTTAAGCTCTTCATCCGCAGCATCGAAAATTAAACACAAATTGTGGCTATTTAGCAAATACACGTGCCATTTGTATATGCATGCACGTACAAGTCGTATGCTATGCATGTATATGTTTTTGTATAGCTATACTATGATGTGCGTTACTTACTTGTAGAATTTTTTGTCCATCGCCGATTTATCGGGAATGTCCAAGTATATAATTTGCTCTGCCATTGTATAGAGCACTCGTTTATGATTCTTTGAGTTTAGTATTAATTGCTTGTTATTACGTTTAGCTGCGTGCCGTGCGAATTGACCGTCCGACGACAGTAACAATTTTAAATGACACTGAGAATTTGATGTGATTGTCCCTGACGACGACAATGATCTGACTGGTAATAGGAAAAATTTGAAGCACTGACTGCTACGGTGGACCCAAAGCATTCACACTCCGTTTACAGTAAATGCGTGGATTGCTTTTTAACTGATGTTGTCAATAGTAGTTTTATTTAATTTACGTCAAGCCCACTGTCTGCCGCGTGTTTACCGGCCAAGTGATTTTTCACTTGTGTTTTTCACAACCAGTGCTGTCATAATATTTCGAGTAAATGGAGCTGGATTGCGAAAAGAAGCAGCTAAAAAGAGCTAAACTGAAGAAAATTAAACAAAATCAAGCGACGCTATTTTCTCGATTAAATTTATATTATTCAATTGTCCCAAATTGTTATTTCATGATTTATAATTTAAAAAAAAAATATATTTGTTTCATTTAATTTCATTTTCAATCATTTTTTCCTGAGTACCAGCAATGGCGAAATGAAGAGTAAGCTTATGCCGCAATGGAACTTAAAATAAAGCCAAATTTGACGGCAAAGAAGTAAAATGACAGCACTGTCTAGAGCCAACATATCCAATATATCGATGTTGGTATTAAGCAAAAGAGTATCGAAAAAATATATCGAATCGTGTACTGATGAATTAAAAAAGAAATTGTAAAAAATACATTGCACGTGATATTAAATATTGCTATCATTGTTAGATTATTATACTATATTTAAGATTAGAATACGTGAACAAATCATTCTACCGATGACATCAAATGTAATTAGCAATACTATCGAGGCTGGTAAGTGTTGTTACACTTTGCGGTGGCACTGAATCAGCTGACTGAGAGCCCATTCACATCGCCGATAACGATAGTTAATTGTGACACGAAATGAGTGTGCATGCGTGTTTGTATTAGTGGCCAACGTATATACTTATATATATATATATATATATATGTATATATTTATATATATATGTATATACATATATAAGTATATATATTAGTATATATATTAATGGCAACAACGAAAATAACAAATAAATAAATGACTTTATATGCATACATATGTGCGCTGATAGATGATGCACAAAGATGACATATTAAAGCGATTCCACGTTAAAGACCAACATCGAAAGCAACGCAAGCAATACAAAAGCACCAATAAAATAAATAATAGGTAAGCTGGAACTGATAAACTTATCAAAATCGACGATAATTCTAATTTCGTCTATGCTTGGCTATGAGCTATGCTCATATATCTGTAACTGCATGTGGAAGTGTGTATGTGTGTGTGTATGCGGGTGTGTGCGTGTAAAGTTACACCAAACATATAGAGAATCAACTAATAGTTTTGTTGTTTTTTTTATTATTTGACATAAAGTTGTCAGCCATTGGAGGCGGCATTGGCTAACGGTTAAGCAGCCAGCTGCACGCAAATCAACAGCAGCAGCAGCCTCAGCAGCAACAGTCGCAACAGCAACAGCAACAACAACGCAACAGCAGCAGCAGCGGCAGCAGCAGCAGCGGCAGCAGCAACGACTTGTAGGCAAACAGGAAATAAGAAATAATTGAATATTCAAAGTACGTGCGGACCCACACACCAAAGTTGTTCGCACTGGCCGACCCGAACAGGAACAATAAGAATTATAATAACAATTATAATAACAAGCAGTGGCTGAGGATGGCCACTGGCAGCAATGATATGCCAGACCATCGAAAGCGCAACACCTTCACCAGCTACGTGGCGCCCATGGCTGGGGATGTGCGCGCCACGGCGGATACGAACGAGTGGTGCCTGCCCAGCGACCTGCGTGACGTGCACCTGGCCACGCCTCGCATGCTGAGCGGCGAGCAAATCGTTGCCTCAGCGCCCGCCTACATGTATTCGCCGATAGCGCCAATGGAGGGCAGCGGCAACAGCAGCAACAGCAGCAGCAGCACCAGCAACAACATTAACAGCAGCATCGGCAATGGGAATGGCAATGGCAACAATAGCAGCAGCAGCAGTGGCGGAGCAAGGTACAGCAGAGGTGGCCACAAGGAGGCCACCTTCGGCCTGCTGAGCGTGACCAACTTCAAGCTGGCCTTTGTGCCACTGCACGGTGGTCAAGGCGCACAGTCGGCACCCTTGGCCAGTGATCTGTACCAGGGGAATAACTTTTTGGGTCGCAACGAGGTGACGCTGAACAACATCGACCAGATCTATACGATTTCCGAGCAGGGCAGAGCGGCGAGTGCGCTCCAGGCGGCGCGCATGGCGGGCACGAGCAGTCGACGGAAAAAGCTGGAGCCCGCCAAGCAGCACAATCTCAACGGCCGGATCGTGGCACTGCACATCATATGCAAGAACTTTCGGCTGCTCAAGTTCGCCTTCCAGCAGCAGGACTCGAAGCTGAGCGGAGCCAGCGACTACGGCAAGCTGATTGCCTCGGCGCTGGCCCGCTTCGCCTACCCGATGCGGCACGACCTGAGCTTCGCCTATTCGTATCAGGAGCCCTACTACTCCACCCTGGTCGGGGTAAGCATGTACGCCAGCAAGAACGATTGGGCACGCGAGCTGATACGCTGCGGCGCCACTGAGTGGCAGGTGGTCAGCGCCAGCTCCGTGCCTCTGCTCCAGAACCGTCTGCACGCATCCAAGTACACGCTGCCGCCCCACTTTGTCATACCCAAGTGCTGTGAGGTGGACCGCTTCCTGCAGTTGTCGTTGGCCTTCTGCGACTCGCGGGCCGCCTTCTGGGTGTACAGCTATGGCAGCAGCGCCGCCTCGCTGGTGCGCCTGGCCGAGCTGCAGCCGAGCTCGCAGCAGGACACGAAGCTGGAGAACATTATGCTGGAGCTGGTGCGCAAGTGCGACGAGCGGAAGCAGTTGAAGCTGATCCAGCTGACCGACCAGCTGCCCAGCACGCAGGACGTGCAGCGGGCGTACCACAAGCTGCGACGCCTCTGCACGCCCGAAACGCCAGAGAAATTTATGCTGCAGGACGACAAGTATCTGGCTCTGCTCGAGAAGACCAACTGGCTGCTGTACGTCTCGCTCTGTCTGCGGCAAGCCTCGGAGGCGGCCGCCACGTTGCGCGCCTCCGTTACCTGTGTGCTGCAGGAGTCCAATGGCCGGGATTTGTGCTGCGTGATTAGCAGCTTGACTCAGCTGCTACTCGATCCGCATTTCCGCACCATCGACGGCTTCCAGTCGCTGGTGCAAAAGGAATGGGTGGCCTTGGAGCATCCGTTCCAGCGCCGCCTGGGTCATGTTTATGTGTCCAACAGCGAGCAGGCTCCGGACAGTGAACAGAGTCCCATATTTCTACTCTATCTCGACTGTGTGTGGCAACTGCTCCAGCAATTTCCGGACGAGTTTGAATTCTCGCAAACGTATTTGACGACGCTTTGGGATGCCTGCTTCATGCCCATATTCGACACCTTCCAGTTTGACAGCCAGGCCCAGCGAGCGCGCGCCGTCAGCGAGGGGCGACTGGTGCTGCGGCCCGTTTGGGACTGGGGCGAGCAGTTCAGCGAAAAGGATAAGATGTTCTTCACCAATCCGCTCTATCAGCGTCAGCGAGGAGATTTGGCTTCCAGTCAAAATTATCGACGCTCCTTGGCCGTGGGTGGACAACACAAGCTGCTCTCAACGACTGGAACCGGCGGACCTCTGGCAACATCCTCTCCATCGCGCTACACCATCAATCCACAGCTGTTTGCGACGCAGTCCACTGTGCCGCAAGACCGTTACCTGCAGCCTTCGCATCGCATACTCGATCTGTCCGTGTGGGATCAGTGCTACTATCGTTGGCTTCCCGTGCTGGACATCCGTGGCGGTGGACAGCCGCAGGTGGATCTCTTTTATCGCCTGATGCTGAGCAACATCGCCAAGGCGCAGCGCTGCATCGATCTACAGAGCTTCGAGGACCTGCCCGACGCCTTCTACGAAGCGATGGGTGAGCAGCGACCCAGCCCGCAGTCGCAGCGTGACCAGGATCAGCGCCAGCAAGAGGAGCCTGTGGAGTATGTGGACGGTGTGGAGCGACGCCGCAAGCCCGATCCAAGCGCAGGAGGAGGAGGATCGACAGCTAATGGCCTGAATGTGGTGAATGGCGGACCACTGCAGCTATCCACACTCTCATCATTCTTTCCATTCGGCAGCCCCATTGCGGGCGATGCGCCCCATGAGCTGTACGACATTCTCAGCGGTAGCACTGAGCTCCTATTGGACACCTCCTCCATTCTGGACAAGTCATCCATTGTTTGAGCCGTGTTGTAGTGTTGTACAACGGCTACAGCTACCGTCTACTCGCTACTTTCTAATCGTGACTCGTTATCCGTTGTAACGAATCGCAGCTACGCAAAAGCTCGCTTTGCGCAATCCTTGTTCCAATCTGCTAATGCTGGTTATTTATGAAGAGCTGAACTTTAGAAGTATTACAAATCTACTTTTTTATATAACTACAAGCACATATATACATATATGTATGTATCAGCGTATTATATATCGGTTTGTATATATATGTGTATATTTGCTTGTATGGCATATCGCGTTTAACACTTTTTATTATTGTTTACTAATAGGCAAGTTATAGCGCATAAGTCTTTTTTGTTTTATTTTTTTAATTGTATGTAAAACTATTTCAAACTTGAGAAGAGAAAAACAAACACATAATACCTACGAAACGAACGAAACAATACAATAATATTAATTATTAATAAACAAGTTAATAGAAATCAACAGTAATAATGTTCATATGTATAACGGTAATAACAAATGTTAATTTCAAGCAATATACATATATATATATATAGATATATTTGTATGTAAAACAGCAACAAATATTAAGAAGCAACACCAACTAAATCAACATGTATTATATATTATATATTGTAATATTTAAAAAAATAAATGAGAGAAAACATGTAAATAATTTGCGGTCTCTTGAGGGTTAAGGTTTCAAAAAAGCCAACGGCCAGCGACGGGTTAAAGTGGCACGCGGTAAATTGCAAAGCTTGAAGCTCAGTTTTGCGGGCAGCGCTCCGCTCAGTGTGCAAGATGGCTGATCAACAGAACAGCAACAGCAAATACAATATATTAAAATCCGACGGCCAGCGAAGGGTTAAAGTGGCAAACGGTAAATTGCAAAACTTGAAGCTCACTTTTGCGGGCAGCGCTCCGCTCAGTGTGCAAGATGGCCGATCAACAGAACAACAACAACAAAGATAATATAAGCCGGCGGCCAGCAGAGGGTTAAAGTGGCAAACGGTAAATGGAAAAAGCTCTCAGCTTAGTTCAGAAAGACAGCGCTCAGTGTGCAAGATGGCCGAGAACCAGCAAGACAAGCCGCAGATCCAGGAGTCGGAGTCGGCAAGTGGTTCGCGTCCAAGACGTCGTCCACTGCCAATGCCATCGGATGATATGATACGCAACACGATAGCACGAAGCTTGACACAGATTGTGGTGAATATGCAAAGTGCGGAGATGCAGCAAAAATGCCGCGAGCTTTTACAGGTTGAGGACCTGACGCAGGGCGCGCACATTCGAATATTGGCGGCGCTGGAGCAAATCGACGAGCAGCGTGAACGTAAGGCCAGCAAGCACAAGCGCCACAGATTCAAAGATCACAATTGAGATATGGCGAACAAATACGTATATAGATATATATAGATGTACATATGTATATTGAAAGAGTCAACAATTAATTTTTAACTATATTTGCTTTTGTTTATATTTGGGTTACTTTTTCGTCGCATCTTTGGCCTCCTCGGCCTTTAGCAGCTCAGAGGTGATCCCCACTTTTTTGAGCTCCTCGATTAGATCGCCGCTCTGATGCATCTGCATCATAATATCACAGCCACCGACGAATTCGCCATTGATAAACACCTGTGGTATGGTTGGCCAATCGGTGTATTCCTTGATGCCTATGTGTGATGGGAGAACGGCATGCATTTAGTAAGATTGTGATACACGCGACTGGAATCTCACTAACCTTGACGCAGTGCCTCGTTTTGCAGGACATCATGTGCATCGTATTGGACGCCATGCATGCGCATGATTTGGACGACAGCATTGCTGAAGCCGCAGCGCGGAGCTTGTGGATTACCCTTCATGAATACGACCACTTTGTTGGTGCGCACCAGCTTGTCCAGTGTCTCCTTATCCACTGCGGCCGGCGGAGCAGCTGCGTCCGCGCTGTACCACCGTGGAGATGCTACTAGCGCTGGCATCGTGCGCATTGTTGTGGCCAAGTTGTTGGCCAGGCTCGGTCGCAATAAAATTTGGCAAATTTTGTTCATTTTTGCTGATATATATATGTGTATTTCCAGGCACAACTTTTTATCAATTGGGAATAATTTTGTTTTATAATGTGTTGTGTTATGTTGACGCAATAAGCTCGAACATATGTGCATTGACGCAATTTTGCTCTACTGTTAACACAAATATGCGCGCTACAGAGAGAGCTATGCTCTAAATTATGTTAGCCGAACTGTTAAACATTCTATTAGGCG